TTTGCAATTTTTCACACAAAAGTCAGGGTCCATTTGACCCGCTATATATTGACCGATCTTTATCAAAACAGGCATGCTTATTCTTTGGCCCGATCCGCTTCTGGAGCGACCAGAAAAATCGACAAAAATAAAGTTTTTGGTCCATTTCATCCCCTAAATATTAACCGATCTTTTCCAAAAACAATAGGGGTCTTTATTGGCCAGAACCCATTCTATATGCAAAATTTCCTGAAGATTGGTCCATAACTGTGGTCTGTATTGTGTTTACAAATTATAATGGACAGACGGACGGACACACATGTCTAGATCGACTCAGCTAGTCGAGATATGACGATCGGTATACTTAAAGGTGGGTCTAGGACCAATATTTCTCGGCGTTACAAACTTTTGGGGCTGCACAAAACTATAATACCCTGACAATATAGTTGTGTTGGGTATATACATATCGACCCCCCCGAACCATAGTATGCTAAGTCTGAAAAGTGAGTTTTTCAGTAGAAGCTCTCAAAGTATGGAAGTTTTATATCTAAGTACATTACCATGATTACCAAAATTTCAGAGAATATAAATAAAGGACCGTAGTATCTAAAAACGTAAAGAACTTTAAAACATGCTAAGTCGACTTAGCATACTATGGTTCGGAGGCGTCGATATATTTCTTAGGGTTTAAATTTATTTATTTTAAATTGTGGCAAGTATACGCCACAATGGGGATATAAATACCCCATTGTGGCGTATGCGTGCTGACAGCAATCATACGCCTACAGAAACCATTAATAATTTTCTCTTTAATTAGGTTCCACAGCCTCCTCCCCTACCTCAAAATAATTTCACCGTATATTAGCTTAACTCATTATTATTATTTTCAACAATAATTCCTTCGAATCATCCCATCCTACCCTGGGAAGAAATTACGAGACAATTCCCACAACAATTCCCCAACAAAGTGAACAAGCTTCAACATGCAAGAAATAATTTGAATATATGTTTACCATTATTTCATACATGTCCCACCGAAAAAAAAAATTCCGAACCCAAATTCTTTTTTTTTTTTTTTTTTTGTCAACAATTCCCATTCATAATTTGTACACGTATTAAGTTCAACATGAACACCAGAAGAACAGCGGCAACCACAGCGTCGAACACAACAACAACCACTTAATATTAAATCGACACGACAGAATTGAAAATGTGTTAGCTGTGAACAACAACAAGGAAATTTAAGCTTTTTGTTGTTTGTCTTGTTACAACAAGACAAATGACAAAAATAAACACAAATAATAACAAAAGAATATTTACCGATGAGGATGTGTGGGGAAGGGAGGGGGAGGGCGAAAAAATAAATACTGAGAAAAAAATACGTTAAAATTACACACGCATGTGGTGGTGTTGTAACAAGGAAATGTAAACACGCAAGTATACAGGGACAGACAGACAAACATATATCGGCAGACTTAGCACTTGAAGGAAGTTAGGATGTGTGGTTGTTTGTTTTCTCTTATCTCTAAGTCGCACACACACGCACGCAAGAAATGTGGCGGATATATTTAAATTGATCACTTTAAAGACATGTGTAAATATGTGTGTGTGTTTATGTCTTTGTTGTTTAAATAAATATTATGTTGAGATGTTATTGTGGTGAACCACAAAAATTTCAGATATTTTGTTGAGGAAAAAAAGCTGGTTTCTAAAAATATTTTTTATGGATTTTTTTAAAAATTTTTTCAAGAAATTAATACCATCTGGATCTTTAAAAAAAATATTTATTTAAAGTAGCCTACAAGCTATTTTATTATTTTTCAATTTGAAGCGTATACGTTGCGACAATAATCATACGTTCCGGTGTACCAAAAAAATATGGATTTTAAAGAAATATTTTTTCGAGTCCTTACAAGGTGTGGATTTTTTAAAAAAAATATTTTTTCTAGGCAAACACAAGGCGTAGATTTTTAATGACATATTTTTCCATTTTTTTCAAGGACTAGATTAGGTTAGGTTGAAAAGAGGGGTGGATGATTCCACCACATTTCCAACATGAGAAGGACATACACATAAGCCATATGAGGCCTGTTGTGCGCTCTAGAATTGCGGAGAAAGTTAAAATCAAGAATTAGTGAAAGTGTATATTAAGGGAAACCGCCATTCTCGATTTTTTATTTTTAAGATTTTAAATGGGCTGGTAAATGAATGTTAAGGTTTGTAACTTTGCACACATATATTTGAAGATTTAAAAAGGAAGAAAAATAATTTTCAAAAAACTTTTCTTGTTGTTTTTTGTGATTAAGGAAAAGTCCTTATTTTTGATGGCGGGCATGATAACTCCTCACTGGAACATCGGAATCCGAAAATTCCAACGGTGTTAGAAAGAGTACATGTCCGGCTCTCGTATGAACTAGGATTATTGATTTCGCTCTAAAATTAACAAAATGGCGGACGTTTGAAAAAATATTTTTGGAAAATCGCCGATTTTTGACCAAAAACCAAGTTAAAAAATAAGGATCACCTTCACCGATTGGCTTTATCCTAGTTCATACTATAGCTATACACTTACAGAGAAACGTGAAAAAATTTGGAATCGATTGGGTTATTAGTTTTTGAGTTATCGTGCCCGCCATTCGCAAAAGAGAAAACGCGTTCAAAGTTTGAGAAGCCCTTTAGCCGTCACTTGATGCTGACACAATAATTCGGCTATATCTTCAAGAGTTCTTGAGATTTTCACTTGACATTTTGTAGGGACATTCTTGAATTAGTGTATAATTTAATTAAATCAAAAAATGTTTTGATCCCGAGAAAGGGGGAAGGGGTGGGTCCCCTTAATAAAGAAAAAAAACATTTGGGTTTGATTCACTATGAATCTACGAATTCTGTTTTTTTTTCGAACTCCTTCAATCTTTTCCATTCACACCCCCTCAGATCGCTTAGTCCGTGAAGAGTGTCATTTCCCAAGAATTGTCTCCGAAGGCATGTAAATGCTGGGCAATGGCTCAGGAAATATTCCAGTGTTTCACTGTCTTCCCCACACGCTCTGCACTCGTTACTTCCTTCGCATCCCATCTTGAGTAGATGTGCCTTCAGGCCCAGGTGCCCCGTCAGAATACCCGTCAATCGGATTATTTCTTTTTTGTTTAGCGTTATGATTTGCTTAGTTTTGTCTGCACTTGGGTCGCCCCATAAGATGTTGGTGATTTTTCCTGTCCCTCATTATACCCTACACAACTATGTTGTCAGGGTATTATAGCTTTGTGTTTGTAACGCCGCGAAATATTGGTCCTAGACCCAACTTTAAGTATGCCGATCGTCATATCTCGACTAGCTGAGTCGATCTAGACATGTGTGTCCGTCCGTCTGTCCATTATAATTTGTAAACACGATACAGGCCACAGTTATGGACCAATCTTCACGAAATTTTGCATGTAGGATGGGTTCTGGCCAATGAAGACCCCTATTGTTTTTGGAAAAGATCGGTTCATATTTAGGGGATGAAATGGACCAAAAACTTTATTCTTGTCGGTTTTTCTGGTCACTCCAGAGGCCGCAATTATGGCCCAAACACCTCGAATTTTTGCACGGAGAAGGGGATCGGGCCAAAGAATAAGTATGCCTGTTTTGATAAAGATCGTCAATTTTTAGCAAATATCGCGAAATATTGCCCAAGCTCAGAATATAGAACCACAGAAAGTTATAGTTTCGTGGAAGTTGTGTAGGGTACCATATTGGTCGGCCCCGTCCGACTATACTGCTCCGCTCAATAGTTATCCCAAAGGGTTTTGTGGGTCTCATGTGTCCATTCCCTCATTTCTTCGCGTGTTTCGCTAAAGGGTTTGACGGTATACACCTCTATTGTGGGTAGTGCAGTGGCACTCCTGGCTTGTTGATTTGCGATCTCTTTGCCTATGATTCCTTGGTACCCATATAATTCGTACAGGTCCTTGTTGTGAGAAATCATTAATGGTATTTATACATTCCAGTACAGTTTTGAAAGATATTGCCTTTATAGCTTGCTTGCTGTCCGTTATAATATTTATTGTATTTTGTCCTTGGTTTGAAATTAATCAGTTAAGACACTCTGCATGAACCTCCGCCTGTAAGATCGTGCTGTGATCTGTAAGACGAAGGGAATTGTCGGTACTCGGTTCTTCGATAAAAAGTCCCAGTCCAGTTTTCCCTCCTAGTCGAGAGCCATCTGTGTAGCAACAGTTACCAGGCGGCATCTGAACTAGTGTTCCGCTATTCCATTGTTCTCTATCTGGTATTATAGTTTTGCACCGTGTCACTACTCTCGTTTCGGGTATATGGTCTGAATCAAAGTTATTGGATGTCGACTCAGTAGTTGTCTGTAAAATGTGTTTGTGTGGTGTGTTGTGTCCGGTTTTGTTTTGGAAGATGGGCTTTTCGTACTGACCTATTTTTGTCTTTCTAGTGAAAAGACATACCTCCGTTTTGTACGGATTTACATTTAAGCCCCTCGGATTTGCCCAATCGTATGCGATTTTTAGCACCGTTTCGGCATTCCTGCATAGTAAGTTTGGATTCTTTCCCTCTAGAAGTATTATAACGTCATCTGCATAACAGACTGGTTCAAATTTTCAAGGACTAATACAAGGAATGAATTTAAAAATATTTTTTCAATGACAAACACAATGGTGGATTTGTAAAAATATATTTTTAAGGACTACGAATTTAGGGGAATTCGCAAGGCGTGGATTTTTTAAAGTAATATTTTTTAAAGGACTGATTCAAGGTGTGGATTTTTGAAAAGGAATATTTTTTTTTTTTACTAGGTTTGGATTTTATAAAGAAATAATAAATAACGATGTAGCGTATACATGATGGCATAACTTATACGCCAGATACGCCACTTTACACTTTTTTTTAAATGACAAATGTACAAATATATATGTATGTGTGTACATACATATTTTAAATTTTCTTGTTTTATTTTTGAAAAATATTTGACAAAAAATTGCCTTCATTTTCATTCCCAACTCTCAAAATCCGCCATGAACGAAATTGAACGCAAGAAAAGTTATCGTCAACATCGTTTACGCATACAAAATGCCACCAGTTTGGTCAATAGCCAGGCACCATCCCGACAAACCGCCAATCCTGGGGAACAAAGAAAATTAACGTTCCTAGAAATGATGACGGCTCTGTATCAGAAAGGAAATTCAAGAACATTTACCCAAACCCCGTTGGCAGTAATGCCACATGCCAAAAGTTGTTGCCCTTTAAAAATCGATAACAAACAATTATCCAAACGCGACATGCACTCATCGTGTTTATCTTTGGATCATGATGGTAAGAAGCGAAAATCTAAAGAATGCATGGAGCATATGGACAAGAGAAATAAACTCGCACCCGGCGATATACCCTATCACATTTGGCAACGTTATCGCCAGTTGCCATTCATTCGCACTCCCAGCATGCTAATGAAACTGCTAAGGCCTCAAATATTTCTCGAATTGCAGTTGAGCAGTGGCCAACCTTTGGGCCGCCTTGTCATACAGCTGTTCACCGAAGCCTGTCCGGAAATTGTTCTACAATTTGTACGTATATGCCTGGCACAACAGGCGGAACGTTTTAAATTCTCGCGTATCTTGTTGCACCTCTGGCTGGAGGGGGAACTGCATTTGATGGATAAGCATGCTCTGACCATGCCGAATATCGAACATGATCCGATGGCCATTAATCATGGCAGTGCTGCTGGTATTCTCTCGTTTCCCAGCCGGTATTTGCGTGGCAGTAAATTTCGTTTCATCAGCTTCAGTGTAAGTTTCAAGCCTATCGATGTGCTGAATGGCAAGCGGATTGCCTTTGGCAAGGTACGGCGGGGCCAACATGTGTTGAAGCAGCTGCAACAGAATTGTGAAACGGCCGACAATGGTAGGCCGTTGAAAGAAATTTATGTAACAACGTGTGGTGTTTTGTGAGTGAGCAAGTGACGGAGTGACGGAGTAACTGAATGAATAAATTGAAATGCTGAGTAAAGAAGAGGAAGAAGTACAAGAGATAAAACAATAACAGCCGTTACATTTAAATATGCAAAAGAAGGAGAAGAAAAAATCGAACAGCATGGAATATTTCATATTGTAAACAAGACATATCCTTTTTGTATTCCAGGAAATAGGATATCTGTCAATATTCATCAGCAGTACAATGGACCAGACAGATGTGTGTGTGTGTCTGTGTGTATTTGTGTTTCACATAGCTTTTAATAAAATCAATTCCCATGAATTCCTGTTAAACTCATCGATATACATTCTTTAACACCCCTTTCGGCAATATCCACCCGCTGCCAAATGGTTATCACCCGCATTTTCCACCACCTAAACGGATTCAAAAAATGAAAATAAAAATTCTATGCAAATGGAAAATCCATTGGAATGAAAATTATTCCACTTTCCTTTCGTATCAGACTGTAGCTCATTTTTTTGTTTTGTTTTGAAATTCATATATTTTTAATTAATTCCTTTCTATGATTTCTATGTCAGGTTTTTGTCGGTAGAAGTTGGAATTTTTTTTTGTAAGAAATATGCCTAGGGATTATAAATAATAAAATATGTACATATAGGGGTCATAAGGGGCGTATAATTTATGTCAAAACGTATACGCCAACTGGTTCCTTGAAAGAATATTCTTGCGTTGGACTTGAAAAAAATACTTAAACCAGGCCTTGTGTTGAACTTGCCTTGAAAAAATATTTTTTTAAAAAACCCACGCCTTGTGTTGAACTTATCTTGAAAAAATATTTTTTAAAAAATCCACGCCTTGTGTGAACTTCAAAAAATATTTTTTAAAAAATCCACGCCTTGTGTGAATTTCAAAAAATATTTTTTAAAAAATCCACGCCTTGTGTGAACTTCAAAAAATATTTTTTAAAAAATCCACGCCTTGTGTGAACTTCAAAAAATATTTTTTAAAAAATCCACGCCTTGTGTGAATTTCAAAAAATATTTTTTAAAAAATCCACGCCTTGTGTGAATTTAAAAAAATATTTTTTAAAAAATCCAAGCCTTGTGTGAACTTAAAAAAATATTTTTTAAAAAATCCACGCCTTGTGTGAACTTCAAAAAATATTCTTTAAAAAAATATTCTTGTGTAAACTTCAAAAAATATTTTAAAAAAAATAAACTTCAAAAAATATTTTTTTCAAAAAACACGCCTTGTTTAAACTTCAAAAAATATTTTTTAAAAAAATCACGCCTTGTGTAAACTTCAAAAAATATTTTTTTCAAAAAGCACGCCTTGTGTAAACTTCAAAAAATATTTTTTAAAAAAACCACACCTTGTGTAAACTTCAAAAAATATTTTTTTCAAAAAACACGCCTTGTGTAAACTTCAAAAAATATTTTTTTAAAAAAATAAACTTCAAAACATATTTTTTAAAAAAACAACGACTTGTGTAAACTTCAAAAAATATTTATTAAAAAAACCACGCCTTGTGTAAACTTAAAAATATATTTAAAAAAAAATAAACTTCAAAAAATATTTAAAAAAAAATAAACTTCAAAAAATATTTAAAAAAAAATAAACTTCAAAAAATAGTTTTTAAAAAAACCACGCCTTGTGTAAACTTCAAAAAATATTTTTTAAAAAAACCACGCCTTGTGTAAACTTCAAAAAATATTTTTTAAAAAAACCACGCCTTGTGTAAACTTCAAAAAATATTTTTTAAAAAAACCACGCCTTGTGTAAACTTCAAAAAATATTTTTTTCAAAAAACACGCCTTGTGTAAACTTCAAAAAATATTTTTTAAAAAATCCACGCCTTGTGTGAACTTCAAAAAATATTTTTTAAAAAATCCACGCCTTGTGTGAACTTCAAAAAATATTTTTTAAACAATCCACGCCTTGTGTGAACTTCAAAAAATATTCTTTAAAAAATCCACGCCTTGTGTGAACTTCAAAAAATATTTTTTAAAAAATCCACGCCTTGTGTGAACTTCAAAAAATATTTTTTAAAATATCCACGCCTTGTGTGAACTTCAAAAAATATTTTTTTAAAAAATCCACGCTTTTGTGTGAACTTCAAAAAATATTAAAAAAAATCCACGCCTTGTGTGAACTTCAAAAAATATTTTTTAAAAAATCCACGCCTTGTGTTTGACTTGACTTTGTGTGGACTTCAAAAAATATTTTTTAAAGACTCCACACCTCGTGTAAACATCAAAAATTATTATTTTTTAAATCTACGCCCTAAAAAATATATTAATTTTATTTCTATACCTCCTATACCCTGTGGCGTATACATAGTGCCATTAGTTATATGCCATGGTGTCCTATTTAAAATACTTATTTTTTCATTTTCTATTTCTTGTTTTGTTTCTGTTCTTCCAGCATTTGCAATGGACTTGAAATCCGGTACATTATTGGTACCACCGGCTGTTAAAAACTCTAGTTGTTCACATCCCCGCTATACCAGCCATAATTTCCTGCAGCACGTTGGCATTGTTGAAACCGTTGAGGCAGTGCTAATACTCATACTGACGTTGGGTGTAATCGGAGCCAATGCCCTGGTGATATTTGTCATAAATAACAGACGCTATTCGCCCTATATACATCAGCAGGTAAACATACACAAACACACAGAGATTTTCTTTCTTTTTATTGTTTTTGGGTTGTTTTTGTTATTTATTACAACAATCGACATTTATTTTTTGGGTGGATTCGGGGTTTTTTCACAGTTGAAAAAATTCAAATGAAATGAAATTTCGTTTTTAGTTTTTTTTTTGAGTTCAATTTGTCTGACTACTGACCAGCAGCTACCATGGCTGATGCTGCATTATAAATTCCATCCATTTATGCTCAATTTACTGACATGCTGTCCTATATTTTTTTTTTCTTTCTTTGTCTCTCCTTTTTTGTCTTTACCCTACTTTTGGATGTTTGTTTTTTGTGCCTTACTTCCGGATAATGGTGATGATGATGGTGTCGTTGGCTGTTTGGATGCTGCATTTTGAAGCCCCGCTATTTGCTAACATCGCTGGCTCTGAATGACCTCACCATTGGTTTGCTTATCACACCATTTGGTTTATTGCCAGCATTGTTCCACTGCTGGCCTTATGGTGAAATCTTTTGCCAAATTCAGGTAAGTTCAGACACAAATCGATGCTATCGAAGTAATGAAATGTGGGCGGTGTGGAGTGTGGGTGTGAGAGAGAAAATCTTAGGGGAGAATGGAAATTTGTTATTTGTGTAAGTGAGAGTCTGGTAAAAGGTTCCGATGTTCATTTCAAGGTACTAGAATCTAAGACATTTAATTTGTTTCCAATACTGATGGAAAGCCCGATTTAGATCCTTAGAATATTTACAACTATTGAGAACTCTCTTCAAATATTTGGGTCTTCTGTAAGCCTTTGATGCTGGACTATTTAATCTTATGGCCTCTTCAGAGACCTCAAAGACGCCCCAGAGGCCTTCGTGGTTTTATTGAGACTATGTTGCCTTCTCTGCGACTTTGTTGTCACTCCTGAGATCGTCCTGATTTTTCGGAATCAACATTAAATCTCCTCATTTTAAATTGTTCGCCTAGTTCTATATGCAATTCCTCGATATCTTCTGGGGTACACGGTGGCGTATACATTGTGACAGTAGTTATACGCCATGGCGTTCTATTCAGAAATGTAATGAAATTTATAAGTTAAATATAGCTGACCTCTAGATCTTTTGTAAGTCTCTTTTGAGAAATATTGATGTCTTCCAAATAAAATTAAATATTTCGAATTGTAGAATATCTTCTGGGGTACACGATGGCGTATAGATTGCGACAATACTTCTACGCCATGGTGTTCTATTCAGAAATTTTAATTTATAAGTTAAATACAGCTGACCTCTAGATCTTTTGTAGATTTCTTTTGAGAAATTTTTATCTCATTCCCAAATAAAATTAAATATTTCGAATTTTCTCAAAACCACTCTAATATTGAAAAAACACATCCAACGAAAATTGTGTTAAAGTGCCAGTAATACGTAATTGTCAGGCTGCAGCTACTGCTTCTGCTATTTCATCGTCGACGTTTTTCCAATACTCTTCACCATTTTGAAATTGGGTCAATTTGGACATTTATTGAATTGATACTGGAAAACCCAGGTACGGTACAGATGACCTGCAAAAACAAGAAAAAAGCAAAAAATCGTAAATTGTTACACCATTCATAATAATTTCGTTAATATTCTGTTGCAAAAAAAAAAAAAAAAGTTTCAATATTTTTTTTATATGTTCTGCGAAAAAACGGGTGTGTGTAAAATTTAGTTATTTCGCGATTTGCATGAAAATATGCGAGGATTTCCTGGTCGTCGATGTTAAAATAATAGCAGAAATCGTCAGTAGTTAATTGGCGTATACGTTGTGTCAGCATGTATACGCCACGGTGTACTAGAAATTAGAAATTGTTATTTTTTTCAGATGACGTTTAAAAGTTCCTAGGAGTTAGTATATGCCTGAGGTTTCGATATAATTAATATTGTCTGAAGGCCTTCGTAATTACAGGACCTCTATGGCGTATACGTTGTGACACCATGTATATGCCATGAAGTACGGAACAATAACCTTTTGATTTTCAAGAACTCTGGTTCTGCTGATTTTCTCTCACTGAACTCTACTGATCGTCACTTTTTATACCTTCTGATCTCTTTTGAGACCTTGAAGAATACCATACCTCGAACCTCTAAGAAGACTCTCTTATACGAAAGGCCTTGTAGCATCCTTCAATATCTCATGATATTCTTTGAGACATTCTGATCTCCACTGAGAAGTTTTATGATTTTCTGTGAGTCTTTTCCGCCTTCTTTGAAAATTGTTGGTCTTTTTAGAAACATAGAGAGATCTTATGGCCTCTTTGAGGTTTTTTAGACTTCTTCTAGAACTTTCAATCAAGTTTGAAGGCTTCTGGACTTCATTGTTATTTAGATACCTTCTGTACTATGTGAGGTCTTCAGATCTACTCTGAAAGGCTTTCAATCCACCTTTTCCTTTGATATATTCTGATTTTATCTGGGAAGTTTTCTATATTTATCACACCTATCAGTCTTCTTTAAAAAAGTCAGGTCTACTCTGAGTCTTTTTTAGGGACTATTTTTATTCCATTAAGAGCTTTTGTTCTGCCTTGAAGCTTTTTCTGGCCTTTATAGAGGTCATATGATCCTATGGCATCGTTGAGATTTTCTAGTCTCCTTCCAGAACTTCTAGTACCACTTGAAATTTCGTCTGGTCTTCATAGTAACCTTTGGGTCTCTGTTGAAACCTCAGATCTATTTGTTTCCTTTAAGATTTGTTTTCGTTGAAGATTTTTTATCTGCTTACAGACCTTCAAATTTCATTCTGGTTATTTTTTTAGAGGTCTTCAGATCTCATTTTAGATCTTACAATACCAATTGAGTGTCAGATAATATTCATTGCAATCTTCTGGTACCTTTTATTGTCTTTGTAGTTGGATAGCTTCGGTTCGAACTAGTACGGAAGACTATCCTACAAAAGAAGTCATCGGTACTAGGACCGAATCTTTCGTTAATGTAGTTCCTTTTGTTCCTTTCTGAGTTCCTTCTGACCCAATTGTTCATATAAATCGTCGTGTTACAATTGTACCAAAATGGAACTAAATGATTTTTTTGCGGAGCGAACGGAAAAAATTCGAAGCGCTTCTGGAAGGAGATTGTTTAATGTTAATGGTATTTTTTAATGTTTTTATATTCTGTGAAATATCTTTCGATTTTCTATAGGTCTTTCCCGTCGCCTTTCTCTAGACAAATATTTGTATATGTTCTCAGAAACCGATTGGAATTTGTGGAAATGTTCTTTATGATACTTTTCGTACTGGTAGCATTCTGCTTTAAGTCGTCAAAATTCCTCCAAAACAGAATTTCTTCAGATTTATTTAATACAACAGGGTGGCGTATACGTTGCGACAGTACTTATACGCTCTGTGGTACCAAAAATAAAAACCTAATTTTAAACCAACAAAATATTTTGCTTTCCTCTGTTACAGGGTCTATTGCGCGGTGCATTGTCCCAACAAAGTGCCGTCATACTTGTGTGCATGGCCGTCGATCGATATATGTGTTCGTTGCATCCGCGCCGCTACTATCAACATTCAAGTAAAAAGGTAAGTTCAAGGAAAAAGGAACCCAAAAAATAGAATTTAATATTTTGGAGGAAATTATTTTCTTCCTATTTTTTTTTAAATCACACACCCTCTATATTATAAACCAATTATTTTTTTTGTTGTCCTTGATTATTTCCCCCTTCCTTCTCAATAAAAATTGTAACATAAAATCCCTAAAAAAATATGTTGTCTTTATTTTCTTATTTTATTTCGGAGAAACCTAAAACTTTGAACATCAACATGAAAATTAAAGCTTTAATATTCGGTTTGACATTGAACATAACATCGAAGAGGGTGCGGAGGACTTCGAGGAACTGCCAACAAAATTTTTTCAAGCAGCTATTTTACACAGTTTAATGTTCTACTTTGAGTTTTGTTTTTTGGGGGCGAGGGAGAAGACTTTAAATGGTAGAAAATGTTAAAGGAAAGAAAACGTAAGAAAGCAGAGGCGTAGGAAGGAAGGAGGGCTCCGAACAATATGAATGTGTAACTTTGGCGCATACTGCGCATCGTTATGATGTCAAATATTTTTTGAGTGAGGAATATGATTTTTTATACGATTTCTACTGATTTAATGTAATACGACTGGGTGGCGTATACATAGCGGCAACACTAATACGCTCTGGTATACCAAAAAATGAAAACCCTTTAAATTCAAGTGTAATTTTTGAAAACATTATCAAAATAGCTTAAAATATTTGAGGAATTATCACCTCCCCTTGGCTCTCAACCTACGCCCCTGAACCAATTTTTGAATCACAAAAAACTTCTCGAAAACTACTCTACAAGATAATGTAAACGATTTGAGTTGGTTATATTATATTTGTTTGTTTGGTTTGATGCTCCCTCTCATTTCTCTTCCTCTTTCCTTGGTTAGCTACGTTTTTGGCTTCCTTCTATGTTTTTTGGCTGCCCATTTTGGCAGGCTTCGACCAACAAACCCACTTAAGGATTTGTAGGGCAGCAAAAAAAAAAAAAAAAAAAAATGTCAGACAAAAATAACAATTACATCGAGTATTACAACAGCAATGAACTCAGTTGTGAAAGAGCGAGCGGCCGAGGGAGGGACAAAGAGAGACGGGGGAGGGCAATGGGACTACAATGTGTTTGTTCTAGAATTGTAAATGATTTTGAATGAGATAAGTATTATTATTTTTATTATTACTACCAAAACTCTTAAAGTTGGATTTAATTAAAATTAGTAAGTAAATTTATGATATTTACATAGGCAATACAAGGACATGCCAAACTGAGGTCCTTGAAGAGTAATTATAAAAAATAAACTACATTGAATGAAAGAGAATTCAATTATCAAAGAAAGTCCAAAAAAACTTAGATGAATTAGGGTTTCCATGGTTGAATTAAGATTTCAATAGGAAATCTTCAATTCAGTCCAGCGGAATTAGGGTTCCGATGGGAAATCTTCAATTCTGCTCAGCTGAATTAAGGTTCCGATATGACATCTTCAATTCAGCACAGGTGAATTAAAGTTTCCATAGCAAATCTTCAATTCAGACCAGCTGAATTAAAATTTTTCTAGGAAATCTTCATTTCAGCCTGGCTGAGTTAAGGTTTGCACAAGAAATCTGAAATTCAGCCCAACTGAATTAAGGTTTTCATAAGAAATCTTCAATTCAGTCCAGCTGAATCAAGGTTTCTATAAGAAATCTTTAATTTAGCCCAGCTGAGTTAAGGTTTCTATAGAAAATCTTCAATTCAGCCCAGCTGAATTAAGGTTGCTAAAGGGAATCTTTAATTTAGCCCGACTGAATTATGGTTTCTATAGGAAATCTTCAATTCAGCCCAGCTGAATTAAGGTTGCTAAAGGAAATCTTCAATTTAGCCCGGCTGAATTATGGTTTCTATAGGAAATCTTCAATTCAGCCCAGCTGAATTAAGATATCTATAGGAAATCTTCAATTCAGCCCAGTTGAATTGAGGTTAATTAATCAATTTAGCCTGGCTGAATTAAGATTCCGAAGTGATTCCATAAGTTCAGCCCAGCTGAATTAAGGTTCCGATGGGAAATCTCCAATTCAGCCAAGCTGAATTAGGTTTTTCGATGGGAAATTTTCAATTCAGCTTAGCTGAATAAGATTACCTGCACTTATTTTTAATTTTTTACATATTATTTGTTATTCAATTTTGCTTTCTATCACCCATTTTACTCCTAACCATTTATTTGATTAACATATATTATAATTTAATAAC